CTGCTTTGTTGTTTTTAATGGACTTAAAGAAACCCACAAACATGGAATAGCAAAGCTCTCTACCCTATATTATAATTTTCATTCCTTGGAAGGACTTACGAGGACAGTGGGGCAATTTTGTAAACAAATTGTTTAATTGATTAGATACATTGCTCCTTTCCAATTAAAAAGGACAAAAAAAGGGAGCTTGTGACTCCGAGCCAATTTCATTGATGTATAGAGCATAGCTAATATCAGTCATTATTGAGGTCCTGATTGCAGCGTGTGTTTTCTCACAAACATGATTATAGGAAGCTCATTTGCATCGCTAAATGAAGGCTAAAAATACCAAAACATTTTTCCCTGCTGGCCAGAGCATAGCTGATTCAATCACTAAAATACAGATAAACAAAAGTAACTACTCTGATGAAGGCTGAGATGATGAAGCACAATGTGCCTAAGAAATCAGTGATTTAGCTGGTAGTATGCTCTTCAGAAGAAGAACCACAAAGCTTCTCTTTAAAAATCACACCAGTCTATCATGGAAGTTTTTCTATGGCAGCAGAAGGATCTCTGGAAAATTTACATCATTGCTCATTCAAAATTCATCATAGGACGTGTTGGTAGGATGTGCTGAGGGACTGAACTGCAATGGATGTGTACGAAAAAGTAATTCCTGCTGTCCCCAGCAGGACTGATGGCCAGCTACAGTGAGTGGTAGAAGTTGTTGTCCCTTTTGCTGCAGCCCAGCACTGCTGACAGGGGGGTCTTTGCTTCTTAATCAGGGTCTGCATAGATGGACTCACTTTTTCATGGATGAAATTACTTGCAGGGCAGCAGTTTGTTCCAGGTCTCCTCTTGGGGCAGGTGTTAAAGCAGTGAGGCTGTCAGGGACAGCCTATTAAATATGTAGCTTTTTTAATTAATACACTTTCAATAGCTCCTTGTTTTCCAGCCCCACCAAAACTGTAAGTGTTCCTGTCCAAAACCTCTAAGCTTCTCCAGTGCTGGCAGCCACATTTTTCATAGCAGAAGTATTGGGATACCTATCCATATAGAAAACAGAAAAATGCTTTGGGTCTAATTCAGCCTACTTCAGCTTCTCAGTACACCTCATTACAGCATAATTTAGGTTTAGTTTAAACAATCAGAAATAAATTTGAAATTGTAATCACATGTTCCTGGAAGCAGAAAACATCTAAATTACTGAAATGGATGGATCAGTGCCTATTATTTCCTCTATAATATACTTAGCTGTCATTTTAAAAAATGTACCCAGATCTACAACCAACCCTCCTATTCCCCCAGATCTACAGGAAAATCTTCTGGAAATATTAAATTAATCATTTTTGTCAAGACTACAGACGAAAGGAGCCATTTGTACTTTATGATAGTTGGTAATTAAACATTTACAGTACTGTGCCAATATTTAATACAGAACTTAGAAGGAGCAAGCAGAACAGAAGGTAAATCTGGCAGAGTTTATCGTGGAGTGATGCTGTGGGAATGTGCATGTGGGATCAGAACTGCAACACCACAGAGCAAGAGGCACTGCAATAAACTGTGGTAGCAACAAAGTGCTTTTCCAGCTGTGCTAGACTTCTTTATCTCTTCCCTGGAGCAGAAATGAGAAAAAATATTTTTTTCTTTTAAATGACTTAGAGAAACCAGGTGAGATTTTGGGAGTCAAGATCACTGTCCAGTTTTGCAAGGCAATAAAGCTGTATAGAATAAATGAGTCCCAAAGAGTTTCTTCTGGTTTTATGACTGCCCTGCTTTCTTTTTGTCCTGCATCTAGCTGAATTTATTGTAAAAACCTTCTATGTCTTATTTAAGACTTCCCTGTTTTCATTTCTTCTGGAATGCCAGACAAGAGTATGTTTTTGTATTATCTTGTCACTCTAATACCATTTCTGTACTTAAGGAAGAAAACTGTTTAATGTCTCTTACTCCCATTGAATAGATAAGAAATTATCCCATTTTTTCACAAAATATCCCAACTTTTCGTAACGTTGGACTGCAACACAACAAATTGTGTCATCACCAACCAGATTAATCTGACTAAATGTCAGTGCACAATGTGCATGTCCACATCTGAGCTGTGTGCACTGATGTTTACTGCATGGAGGCAGAGCTACAGGGAGAACCATCTGCTAAAACAGACAATCAAGACAGGAAAATGCATCACATCCTAAAAGTATTTTTTCCCTTTTTGATCTCTATTTTTGAGCTGGGATCTGGCTAATTCATTTTTCTTTGTCTAAAGCAAGAGAGACAAGTCTCAACCAAGCATTTCTCAGGCATGTTCCCAGGCTTTGCGACTTTTCTTGTTGTATGTGTTCTGTCCCCACAAATCATATTCTATTAAAAATAACCTCTCAGTTTTCTCCTGCACCATTATCAGAGCTTCCCATGGAAAGACAGATAAAATTAGAGTCTTCCAGAGAGATGGGGGTCCATCCCCAGAAGCATTCAGAGCCATATTGGATGGGGCTCTGAGCACCTGATCTAGGTGAAGGTGTCCCTGCTCATGGCAGGGGAGTTGGGCTGGATGACCTTTAAATGTCTCCTCCAACCCCAACCATTCCATGATTCTTTGAGCCAATATTGGGTCTCCAAGGTATAACTGAGTGCATTCACTGATCTGTGTAATAAGTTGACACAGATAATTATATGCAGCATAAGGTAGAGCTTGCAGTCAGTGGAAGTGCCACGGACTATAGATAAAGCTGATTGGTGCCATGATTTCAGTTTTTTGCAAGCAGTACAGTTTGGGAAATGATTGTGTGGCAACAAGCGTGAAATTGAAGTGTCTGAGTGAGCTTGCATTCATGCACAATACTCTGTGCAAATATATTTAAGTAGATGCAATCTACTGAATAACCAATCTCCTGTCTCTAACCAGCCCAGTAAAGCACTGGCAAATACACCCAGCAAGAGACACATCAGGATGCAAATATTTGGTAGAATCCTGCTGCTAATTAAATTCTATCTGCAGTAAACTCCTCCAATTTTTAATGCAGTCACTGATGATCTTGCACTATGCAGATCTTTCATTCTACCACTTCCCATTCTATAAGCACAGGATTTTTGGGGGCTATGTGTGTATTAGCTGGCAGTGCAGCTGGACAGGAGAGGCTCTGCTGACCTGACATCCATATGAGCAACATTTGGGGCAGTTCCATCTCAGATTTTCTCTCACCTGTTTCTGTGGTCTACAGGCTCAAGACTGGGAAGATGGCAATAAGTGCTTTCTTGGAACACCTACTGGTGTCGTATCATTCAAAAAGCATCTGATTTGGGTGCTAAAATATGCACCAAAATGCAGTAGGGCTGTAAGGTTAGGACATTTACCTCAAAAATGCATTCCCAGTCTCAGTTAAAGTTCTAGCACTGTGGCATCATATGTGGCTGATGTACCAAATCACCCAGGGTAGCTCTTCTTGCTCAAAATAAAGATTTTCTTTCAGATCTAGATCAAGGTTCAAGATCACTCTGCATTTTGATTGGAACAGAGCAATAGGTGTTTCCAGAAATAATCTGAAATCTTATCTAGTTTGGTCCTTCCCAAGGGAAATGAATATCAAGTAAAAAAATAAAGCATGGATGGGAAATAATTTATTCTGGGCAATGAAATCTATCCTCTTATGAGCAGAAAAATTTTGCTCCTTTGCTTGATCATATGATTATTTCAGTCTATAACCAATTAAGCAAGAAGACCAACACCATGCTAGTGACAGACATAAAATCTTTTCCTTTGTACATTTGTAAACTGTTTGTTGTTGATAATACAGAACACCATATCATTTCATGGAGTGATAAAAATCTGTATTTGCGAAAAAGTTGTGACCAAAATTACATATAACATGAAACAAAATTTATAATAGATTCAATTACAAAGAACTTTGTTTTGTAAAAGAATGGAAATGATGTTGTAAAAATAGATTATTTCAAATGAAATGTTTTCCACTTCCAAAAACCTAACCTACTTGATTTAAAAAGTTGAAATGAAATTTGCTTACAGGTGGTAACCCTTCAAAACAAAAGCACAAATAGACAGAATAAACATGCATTTAATATCAAAATGTGGATGTACAAGTCGTAAAATATCATAAATGTTTGGAATTTTGGCTGCTGTTTAAAATAAAAGGATTTTGTGTCAGCAATATTTCGACCAAAGTAGGTTTCTTTCTATTCAAGATAGTTTCATCCAGAATAGATCCATGAAAACAGAGACACATGTAACTCTTTAACATTTTATAACACCTAGCTATGGATCTGAGCAAATTCTTAATGTTTTTAGCTCTCCTTACTAAGCTGCTTTTCAACTCTGGCTCAGTCAGCCTATTGTTACAAATAAAAAGGTGTTTCTGATCCTGTGTCCATTAAAGTCACTAGCAAAACTTTGACTTGGCCAGGGTCACACCTTTTACTACAAAGCAGAACACATGATGTTAAAGAACAATGTGAATACACTTACACTGCAACTTTTTCAATGAGCTTCAGGTATTTAAATGAAATTATTCAGTGTTTGGCTTATTTGACACTACATTAATGTATTTACATCATGTACATCTGCTATAAACTCAACAGCAGATGCTTGGAGACAGCTGTGTCCAGCACTTTCACAAAATTTCAAACTGGACCATTTAATTAACAGAGAGATTGGGGGTAATATTAAAGCCTTCAAGATAAAGCTGGCCCCAGTTGTCTCTTGCAAATATCCAGGAATGTGGCAATCTTTGAGAGGCTGCCTAACAAATTGTTTCAAGTTTTCTTCCAGGATTTTGAAAACAAAAGTCACGCTTACTTAAAAAAAACTGTATCTTGCTGCTGATGGTCATTTTTCCAGTGGCAGAGTCAAGAGGAGGGCAGAGTTGTACTTGGAAAATCTCAGCCAGTGTGCTGTGTGGGTTTGTCCTTGGCCAGGGATCCTGGTTTGGAGGGGCCAGGCGGGATGCAGGAGTGCAGAGGGAGAGGAGCCCCCCTCTCCTGCCTGTGCAGGAGCAGGGCTGGGCTCACTAACTGCTGCAGCCCCTGGTGCAGCCATGTCCCAGCAAATTGTTGTTCCGCCCGTCTTGGAGCTTCTCGTGGCTCTGAAGAGATGCTCTGCTGTCAATGCTGGAAGTCTGTCCACTTTGATCCTGCTGTCTTCTCAATCTGCCAGAGGTTAAAAACATGGATAGAGCTGTCATGTGCAGGTAGCTGTATGGGAAGGACAGCTGCTGCCTGCCCTGTGGATAGCCACATCCTCCTGGGTATAAAATGTTCCTGCATCATTTCACCTGCATTAACTGCTTGAGCTTTATAGCTGCCATTGCCTCTAAACACTGCTGATTGTTTCCTCCTAAATATGTGCAATTAGATCTTGGACAAATCCTGCTGCCCTTAAAGCCTTCCATAAAGAGCCAGCAGAGGAGAATGCTGGCTTTAGCACCTCTGCTCAGACTGTGACTTGGTAAAACCTCCAGCTAGCTGGAGGCTGATGAAAGCTGCTGACTGGGCACACAACAGCTGCCCCCCTCTGTTGTCCTACAAAATTATCAGTAATCTTCATGCATTAAAAGAGAAAAAAAATATGAGATGAAAGTATTTTCAGTATTCCTCTTGTTATTATTTCATGTTATCAAAGCCTCATGAGTGGTGTCAAGGAACACCAGCAACAAAACCATATGCTTAAAGACTGCAAAGTTATCTTTTGACAAAATTTTCTAGAGAACAGCAACAGCCCTAGAAACACCTGCAGTCCCCACCAACCTGTTATCAAAGAGCTTCTCAGCATTTCTGCTCAACAGCAATCTCTGTGATTTTACTGTGATTCATGTCATATTCAGTATTTTCCTCCAAACACTGTGTAAAGATGTAACTTTCAGAAAAGATATAAGGATTCATGGAGAAGCTATGTAGTGGGAATTTTTTTTTTTCTTTAACACGAACAGCTACTGTTCTGAAGGATTTTTTCTCTGAGTGTTTCTTTTCTCAAAATGGGAAATAATATTACTCAAAAAGGCACCAAGGCTTGGCACCAGAGACATTATGGAAGAGCGCTTTGGTACAGCAATTATAAAAGGTATATATGCTATACTCCAAAAAAACCCCCAACTTTGCAAGTAATATAGAATACCTAGAAAATAGTCAGTGGAAAAGCATGCAAAAATCAAATTTGAATGGTCAATTTCAAAGGCTTAAATACTTCCAAGTGGCGTAAACAATATGGAGACACCATGCTGAACATTCAGAAGAGAATGTGATGGGACATGAAAATACTGTAATTAAACAGATGAATAGGGGAGGCTGTTAAAGCAAAAAAAAAAAAAAAAAAAAAAAAAACCAAAAAAACTTGGAACACTGTGTAAAAGGGCAGTCACATTAAATGAAAAGCTGCAAGGCAGATTAAAGACAACAATTTAGAGGAAGAAATTGCCAAAAGCATTTTTGGTGAAGATTTTATGTGCATCAGAAATTCAATGGATACTGTTAAGTCTATAGGTCAGTGTATGAGTGAATTATTAGAGGACAGCACAGACAATGTGAGTCCCCAGCTGAAAAGCCAATGAATTATCTTCACCAATGTTCATGACAAATGAGCTGAGGAAGATTCCTTTTCTTATGAGAAATTTGTCCATCATCTCCAGTTAAAACATCAGTGAAACAGCTTTAGAACAGTTGCTTAAATTAATGTTGATGAAGCATTAAGACAATGGATTTTCACCCTAAGGACTTTAAGAAAATTATAATTTTTGCACAGCTGAATGGAGAGTGTAGCTCTTCAAACTGTCTTGGCACTATGGAAGACAGCAGATGTGATGATGTTGGTTATTTGTTGATTTGGGGTGCTTTTTGGTTGGTTGCTGGTTTGGGTTTTTTTAACAAGATTTTCAAAAAAGATCCAAGAGACTACCAAGAAAGCAAGAAAGTTCAGCTTGAGACTTGAAACATCTCAGGATCTGAGCTACTGGTACAAGACTAAGGACTTTGTAGGCATTGAGGGAAAAGACTGCAGTGCTTGGAAACTCGTGTTGCAAAGTGTGGGTGGCAAACCTTGCAAACTGCTGAACAGTGGAGTGAGAAAAACTTTGGCTCTATAGAGATCTGAGGAATCATTGTGTTGGTCCAAGACACGTAAGTGCTTTCTTCCTGGAATTGTATATTTCCTTTGTTTGTAAAATGCTGAAAAAGAAGGTATTTACTGCACTGCTCAATTTAAAAGGAAAATAAGAATTCTCTCAACATGAAGCAAGAAAACACCAATTTATAAATTTATTTTGAGAACCACTCAAACTGGCACAAAGGCAGAATGCATGTAGGGAGGACAGTGGAAAAAGGAGAAATAAAGCCCATGCTGAGTTCAAAAGATACCTCTGGCCAGCTTCAACTTTTTTCACTCTCTACAGAGGTGGTTAATAATGCTGATTTATTTCCATTATTTTCTTTTATCCTGTTCCTACTCCCAGGTCTACTATTGAAACAGAATACGGGGATTTGGAAATCTTAAAGAAATATATTGTTTTAGCAATGCTTCACTGTATTTCCTTTTCAGACACTTTTTCTGTATCTAGATTCACTACACATATTTCAAATTATCAAAGTAAGCAATAGGTTATTAACCTGATGATGAGATAAAAAATTAACTGCTATTTAACTCTTCAATAATTTATCAATCACTGTCAATTATTCAGTTATTAAAATTACATTAAGGATTTCACTCTAGGGGTTTAGCTATTGTAGACATACAAAAACCTGCTTACCAGAGTGCCCTTGGGGCTGGGAAACTGGACTAAGAACCAGGAGATGCTGATTCTGTTTCCACCCCTGTCACCTTTGGACAAATTGCAGCACATTTCTGTGTCTCAGCTTCTCTCATCAGATGTCAAGCAGCTGCTGTCAAGAATGATGGAAGCTGAGAACTTTGTGTCTCTAAGTGCTGCTCTGTGTCTCACAGGCCTGAGTGAAACAAGGAATTACAAGTCTGGTGTCTGTGATAATTAGAAAAGAAGGTGGCATGTGTAATCAACCAAAATATAATTATACTGCATGTATAATTATGCCTGTATGCATTATTGAATATATAAAAATACAAAAGTAAAGAGAACAGACTGGCTAAAAGCTAGCATAGAAAATAAAATATTGAACAGAAGAGGACTGCAACAACTATGGCAGGACAGAAAGAAAATCACAAACATTTAATGAAAGCCAGTAGAAAACATGGGGCCAGCAGGGAATTGCTTGCAGCTCAGCTTTGTTCTCTAGATGAAGAAGAATATTGAAGTTTGTCTTTAGGCTTCGTAGTAGGATAAGTTCCATGAGAAAGAATGAAAAGTTGCAGATTCAACATAACTGTCAAAATTGCAGATTTCCTAAGACTGAGCTGTCCTCCCAACAGCACTGCAGTTTCAGAAAAAATAAAATAAAGCAATTTGTTTGTATTTCTCTTTAACTCAAAACTGCAGACTCAGGTCAAGACACAAAGAAATATGTGTGCACAGTCTCTTCAGTTAAAATATTGGACTTACAGAAGTGAAATTTCTCTCTTTTTGGTGCATTCTTGGTTCCTTGGTGTCAAACCCAGAGCACTTTTCTGTCAGATGTTCTAAGCCTTTAAAAATGTGAGTGTCTTGACGTGTTTCCTGTAATCATGGCAAAATAAATGCAGCCTGGGCCATTCTGTTCAAAAATGACACTAGTGCAATAAATCATTTGTAGGAAGCTGCTTTCCCGTGAATGACTTCTCTTGCCTTTAAGCTGATGCAGCTACAGGCTGTGATAACTTTATAAAGGCCCATGGAGAATGAATGGATTGATGGAGACTTTGTGGTGGATCTGAAGCAGGTACCTGTTCCTTGCGCTGAATACTGTTGGCTAAGAATAAATAATAAAATGGCTAGCTATGGATGACAAAGTGAACAAGTGGTTCTAGTGGATATAGTCATATGGAACAAAAAAACAGCAGGGAAAAGAGGATGAAAATGAGTTTGAACTGTGTCTGTTGCATTTATTCCACGACAGTTCTGTACAAATACATAAGGAGTCTCAGAGGCAATTATGCTGGGAACTAAGAGTGGCTCTGCTGAACCAACAAAGAGTTTTCCTTCTTTTCACCGTTGATCCATGCAATATTGATAGTGTGTGACCCTGAGCACTGCACAGACTCCACTCCAGCAGCGAGGAAGAAAGAGGCTGTTCCAGACACTACAGGAATGCATCAAGAACAGTAACTGAACCTCCAGTCAAATCTTGGTTTTGTCAGCCTGTGTGAGCCATGAATTGGTTTTTAAGGTTCTTATTTTCTCAATACTCAGAAATTATAGTAGCATTCCTGCAGCATTGATTTCTCATACTGGATCTTGAATCTGATATCAGTCAGTGGAAGGGAATCCAGGGGAGAGGGAAAAATACTGGGTCCAAACCACTACAGCAGTACAGAACACTGGCATCAGGCTTTGCAAAATGTAGCTGCTGTGTTTGAGTGCCTTGTGGAGGCTGTTACACTGCCTGGTGCGTGGTACCACCTTTGTGCAGCTGATGCATTCCTCAGTGGGTCTTGCCAGGCTCTCAGGGTGAAACTGAAGGCTCAGAAATACCAGGAGTTGTCTCAAACTGTGGGCCTGTTCTCTGCAACCATGAGAGGACAAAAGAAACTTTCTACTGACAAAGAGAAGTCAAGCCAGGCAGAGCTGCCCCTCCCCTGAGACTCCCACACTCACCACATTCTGAAGGAAACTCTTTTTATTACGAAAAATCTGCAAGTGAGTTTGCCAAAGTTGCAAATCGAGTGTCCTGAGGGTGGAGGAAACAGAACAGTCTGAGTGGGCAGTGGATTTGCTTTGCCATTTCTAGATTTAGCATTTTACCTTGGTTTCTTGATATTTCACTTTGCTTGAGAAAATAGATGCTTTTGGTCTGGGGAAAAGAAGAACTTGATAAAATGAATTATAGAAACTAGTTTTATTGTAAGAAACAAAAGCCTATTAATGAAAACTTTCACATCCCTTGGGATAAGTCCTGAGGAATAAATAAATCTGTGGAATATTTATCCCAGTTTTTCTTCCAAGGGATGGGGACTGAGATCAGAACAGATGAGGCATATCTACGTTGGCTTTTTGAAATTCATGAATCCTGGAAGACAGTTTGCTAAATAATCAGAAACCCATCTCAGCTAT